GTCTAGGTGTAGACTAAGGTGTTATTCTTGGGTTTTTGTTTTTATTTAGATGATGTAATGGTGAAAGACCCCAGCAGAGGTGCTGTTTGCACCACTGGGAGACATATCCTTGAAGTTAGGAAATTCCTGTATTTTTAAGCCAAAGTTTTAAAGAGCATGGAAATCATGGAAGTTTGTAATTGGCTTGTGAAAATTAGATTGAATAATCTATTTGGGATTAATGTACACACTTTTCTGCTATCATATGTTAGATTCCTATACAATTTAAGTGTGGAGCAAGAGAATTTTGACAGATACCCCAAGAAAATCTTTCAAGGGAAAACCCAGGCCTTTTAGACCCAGAAAGGGCTTAAGCCCCATATTATTTTCTTGGCAGGCTATGTTTAGGGTTCTTGCATTTTAGGGCTTTTACATTTTTATTCATTCTGAACTCTGGCGTGAAACAGAGGTCATTAGCAGCAGAACAAGAGGTGTTCTGGTTATAACTTGCTGAAGGGAAGTCGTGAAACAGAGGTCATTAGCAGCAGAACAAGTGTTATAACTTGCTGAGGGGAAGTCAGTACCTTTTGTGTGACGCTACTGCCTTCAACAGTTACATCCCATTGAGTATTTTTTGCATGGAGTAGAAACTCTTTGTGTAGCTCCCAATGTTGTCGTTTTCTTGTTCTTGACAGGTTTGAGCTATGGCATCTCTGTGGACTGGATGGACTCCACACAAGAGGAGGTGGCCTTTTGGCAGGAGATGATGTCGGCTGCCAATGAATGGATTGAGGGATTGCTGCCCCTGCGCTCACTGGCAGGCAGGAAAAAACTGAAATAACATCCTCTTCATGCCACAGAAACCTTAATGTGTTCATTAGAAGTAGGAAACTTCCTGCACCAAGGAGAGACCATCCACAGGGCTGGCAAGTGTCAGGTTAATAAGGAAATTGATGGACAGCACTTTGGAAATATTAAATGTTAAGTACTGATTAATTCCCTGACAGAGGCCATTGAAGATGCCAAACTGATGCTGTACTTGATTTTGACCAAGAAGAAACTTCATTTGCCTTTTTATTTAATCATTTATACTCAGTATATTTGAATTCCATTAGTTCTGGGAACACTCGCAGAAGGAAGGAGATAAAGATATTTCTATTTTTTTACTGTTTCTCGTGCCATTTTTTTTCCTGTGCAGAGCTGCAGTTGTGCTAAAGCAGCAGCTTTATTATTGGTGTTATTCCCCTGCAAGTGGCACACTTTGTACTCGGTGTAGAATTGTTCCAGGTCACCAGCAGCACAGCCTGAGAACAGGAGCTTTGCATTTGTTGCTGCTGATAACACGTCTCTTAACATGAGGAAAAATGAGATCCAAGGTGAATCTAAGGAAAAAGAGGACTATTTGAAGCAGAACATTAAGCAAGCTGAGGAGGATAACAATGAGGAATTTGATATATTTATTTCTGCTTTAATACGAGAGAGAAGTGATGGTCCTGCAGCTAGTGGGATTTTGCAATGAGGGGCTGTTTTCCTAGATTTTCCACAGGCTTCCTCAGTGACCTCAGGCAAGTTTCTCTGTGACAGAACAGTTTCAGTGCAAAATAAACTGAAGTGTTTGCCTAAATGTAAAATACAGTTATATAGCTAATGGGCCTCTACACACCATTGAAATGCCTTGTGTGCAAAACATTTCAATATGAAATTATGATGTAGGAAACAGGTCTCGTGTTAGCCTGGCACAACGGATCAGGAAAGAAAGGTCAGAGCCACACTGGAAGGCAGGAGGTCTTGGGAACTGGTGGGAGAGGTAAGTAGGGAGTGAATTAATGTGAAGGGGGGGTCTCCTTCACATGCCGGGGGGGTCTCCTGCCTCTGAACACCCTGCTGTCCTAGTCCTCCTTTCACCTGATGCCTGTCAGTGAATTGTCCCTGCCTGGAATTTCCTTTTTGCCAGTAGCTTGCAAGAACTTTGCATCTGGCACATTGAGTGTGGCAAAGTGGAGTCGTGAATGCATTTTTGAAATGCAGCTTTGTAATTTCTATTTTGGATGTACATATTGTGATTAAATAGAATGTTTTTCTTTAGTTGTCAACTGGTCTCCTTGTACCTATTTTTGTCATGGTCCGAGCAAAGAAAAAAGCAAACAAAAGAGGTGTTAAATTTTATCATGTCAAAATGAACCATTTTTGCCCAAGGGCAAGCTAAATGTCATGGAGAAATATTTCTTGGTAGCTGTCCTACCCTAGATTTTGACTCTGAATATTTTTTATATTCTTCTTTAATGTATTGGTTTTATTTAACTCAGCATAAATTTTCAGCTTAGCAAAGATGATCGTAAAGGAATTAATGGAAAAATGTACACTTAAAGTAACAAGGCTTTTTCATGAGATGAAGACATTTGGGAGATAATCACTAGCTTTCATGGGAAAAAAAATTAAGGAGATGGTTTTGCGATTGGAAAAAAGATAGTATTTGGAAATGTACCAGTCACAGTACCTAAAGCACTAAGAGAGAGTCCACAGAGCAGCAGAATTAAATAGTAGCTATCTAATGAAGGACCTGGTCAGCCCAAAGATACTTTGTATGGTCTCCAGCCTGGCATGTTTTGTTCACCAAGGTTTGGTCATTTATTCCTTTTGTGGGATGAAATAAATATTTGGGGCCTAAGATGAGACTTTGTAAATTCTTCCCTTTACCTGTTTAGGTGCTGAACATGTGAATATTTATTTATGCACACAGCTTGGGTACTGCAAGGAGCCCTGCATCTGAGTAGTGACTTGTTGCACTGTAGTTACCCACAGCACTTCTGCTCTCACCTCGAGTGCTTCCTGGTCCCACAGGGGACAGGGGAACTCCTGCTGTGGCTGGGAAAGTGGTTGGTAATGCTGGGGACTTCAGCTCGGGCAAGTTGGGGTCTCTGCCTGGAGGGTTCAGCTGACTTCTTTCCTTCACAAAAATGGAGCCATCCCACCTCCTCCTTGTCCTCCTCCTCCTTGTCCTTCTCCTCACGTACAGTATTACACATGTGAAGGTGATGGTGTTGCCAAAACGGCTAGTGGTGTCAATGGAGCTGGAAATCCTTGTGCTGGTGTCTCAGAAAATTCATATATTTTTCATTGTTGGTGCCAATAAGGAGAGAAGTGTGTCAGCAGGCCAGTTTCCTCCCAGCACAGTTGCTTTTATGAACTTGGCCGAAGACTGTGAACAGACTGGTTCTGCGTTCAGATTCCATTGAGGATTTTTGTTAATCTTTTGGTGGCTTGTTTATTGAAATTAAGCCATGATTAACTTAAGAAGCTTTCTTCGGCATTTAGTAGTTTATCAAAGATTACAAAAACCACACGCACACTTGTAACACAGCTGTATCTCAGGCATTAGAAGTTGCTTTGCTGTATCTGTTTCACTTACTGCACAGAAAGGCCTTTATCAGAAAAAGATTGAAGAGAATTTTATTGTCAGTGGCATATGGAAGAGTGGATGAGCTTCTGAGTATAAGGTCAACTGCCTGTTTGTTTGTGGCTTCAGATGTTGGTTGTCTGTGACATTTGTTGTCTGGGAATGTAACAGACTCAGGCCCATAGGCATGGGCTGGTGATAACGTGAGTTGAGTAGGAATTGGAAAAAAACCACCCAAACAGGAGTCAGAAAGTTTTCTGACTGTATTTTTTAGTTCATTGTAGAATGAGTTAAACAAAGTTCTATAAGAAGGTAAGACTTCATGCATATAGGAAACGTGATTTGTATCTCATATGTCCCTAAACATGAGCACAGAGGTGCCGGTGCTGCCGTGGGAACCTCAGGATCTCCAGTAGAGCTGGGCAGCTGCTTTCCATGAGTGTTCTGTGTTTGAGAGTGAACATGCTTCCTTTGAGTTTATCTTTTTTTATATAACTTTTTCTTGGGAACCTTACAGGCAAAAAAAAAAAAAGCAAGAGTACTGAAAGTATTCTTCAGGTAAACATAATCTCTGGCATAGGTCCATTGAAAACTGTTCAATTACAGGTATCAGAAACTATTGAAAACAATTTAGAAGCTAAATGAGGAGGAGAACAAAAAGATTGTTGAATCTTGAACAAAATCCAGTGAAGGAATGTCTCAGAGGAGACGGCAAAGAAGTGATTGAATTAGTTATACATTACTATTTGCTCAGATTTATTCTTCACCAAAACAGGAATAAAAGTTTTCAAGTACTTGGGGAGATTCTGCTGGTTAAATAAACCCATGTTTATTTATCCCAATGTGATCTATTGAAAGAAGAAATGCTGTATTTTTGCAGATTTGTTAAGTAAAAAAAGGTATCAAATAGACCAACGTATCAAAAACTGAATAAATAAACACACTTCAGTTCCTGATAACTAAGAGTGTGCGTATTCAGCACTAGGTTTGTTTGGTTTTTTTAGTTGGCTGTTTTGTACTTCAGTCTTCCATAGCTTAATCCTTTTTCTTTTCTGACTGCCTCCTTTGCACCCCTCAGGTGTCCTGGTCATCTGCTGTTACTGTTCAAACGGATGCCCAGGAGGAGATGTGCCTCTGAGCATTGTCAGAAAGGAAGACTTTGGGAAGCTCTCTGTAGTGCACGGTGCAAAAGCATGTTTGCAAAGATGCTGTAAGGTATGTGCTGGAGCTGTGCTGCTCTCAGCAGCATCACTACCTGTAGAAAGCTCTTGAAACAGAAATCCCTTCCCATGGGGTTGGTCAGGAGGAGCCACTTTTTCCCAGGAGCTGTAATTTTTAGGAGGCTCCCTGTCCTGGTGGCTCTGCCAGGAGGAGCAGAGAGAGCTGTGAGGGTCAGAGTGAAATCTGTGTCCTCCACAGGAGGACTCTGGGTGTGTTTGTGACTGCAGTACCAGGTCCTGGCCTGTTGTGAGCAGGAAATGGCTGATTTGTAGCAATGAAGTTTAAGCAAGAGCAGGAAACTGCAGTGACTCTTCCCAATCTTGGGGTGTTTTCCAGCTTCTCCCACCCTTCTGAACACATTGGTTGGCTGAAGGGTGCTGGGTCAGATCACCACAGCACGAAAACTGAGCATCAGCCTTCAAGAGGCCCATGGAGAAATTACTGTTAATGGCTTGTGTGAGATCTCTTTCTTCTGAGAGAGGGATGGGCAAGGTGGAGAGCTGGAAGTGTCTCCTACAGGGGCCCTACAGGAGTTGGGCAGCAAGCTCCTTTGGGTTTTGCATTCATTTCCTGTTCACTCAGCTGAAATGCCACATGTCAGACAGTAAAATCTGAGGGAAGTAGGGTGGAGATGTCAGCAGGCAGCAGCATCCTAGGAAGAGTGGAAAAACACAAGCAGGAGCAGCATCTAAGCTTTCCAAGTTTGCTGGTCACACTAGGTTTGTGCCAGAGGGCTTGGGTTAGCATT